AAATAAAGGAAACAAAAAAATTAAATAAATAAACATTAATTTGAAAAAAAAAGAAGAAAAATTTTTGCTAAACAGCATTGAACTCATTTTGTAGCCCAGAATTTGGGGTGACCCTCGTGCCTCAGCCTCCAGGGTGTGAGATTACAGCTGTGCACCACCACGCCCCTCTCTTGGTATCTTTTGATAGCCAGAGCTTAATGAATAGGAACAGCTGAGGAAAAAACCTTGGAGAATGAGCCATATCCGGAATTTATTTTGTAGCACTAGGTTCGAACCCAGGGCTGCTCCACCACAAAGCTCTATTCCCCAACTGTTTTTATTGAATTTTGAGACAAGCTTTTGCTGAACTGCCCCGACTGATCATGAATTTGTGATCCTCCTACCTGTTACCAGAGAATCTGAGATTACAGTCATGTGCAGCCACACATGGCTTAATTTTCAATCATTGATATACTTTCTTTTTTTTTTTTTTTTTTTTTTTTTTGAGTCTGGAGCCGGGAAGATGGCTCAGTGGAATAAGTGCTTCCCTGGCAAGTGCAAGAGTCTGAGTTCAATCCCTGGTTCGGGGGGTTGGGGGGGGGGACTGGCATATTCTTTTTGAGTCAGGGTCTTGCTATACAATTCAGGCTGGCCTGGAGCTTACTTTGTAGCCCAGGCTGGTCTCAAACTCACAATGATCCGCCGGCCTCAGCCTCCCGAATGCTGGTATTGTTTACTTTACTGTTTTTCAAATGACTTAATTTACCCATATCTAACAATTTGGAGTGTAAGTATGAATTTTTTTAAAGCTCCCCTCATATTTCCCTCAACCCTCAGTAGCCATAAAGGTTTCTTTTTGTCTTTTCTTATTGAGGCTAGACAGGTACTCTACCCTGAGCTACAGCCCCAAACCCCAGTGTTATGTAGTTTATCATGTTTTCTGCATCCTTTCCCTCTGAACTGTAACAAAATCAAACACCTGTGCAGCACTACCCGTGGGCACGGTTTCACTGCTTTGCATGTGCTTATCTTCAGAACTCTGAGGTTGACACTTTTTGGTCTGGGGCTTTTTGTTGTTGTTGTTGTTTTTGATTTGTTTTATTGAGTCAGCATCTCGCTATGCAATTCAGGTTATCCTTGAACTCACTAGGTAGCCCAGGCTGGCCTCAAATTCACTGCAATCCTCCTGCCTTGGCCTCCGGAGGGCCGGGCTGGGATTACCAGCATGTACCACCACACTGGTATCAGGAATTGAGCTCAGGGCCTCACACTTGCTAGAGTGACACTGTGCCACCGCTGAGCCACGACCCCAGGCCCTTTTTGTTTTGAAACTTTAAAACAATCTCTTTCGTTTGTTTGTTTTGGGGATTGAACTCAGGACCTTGTGCTTGCCAGGCAGGTGCTTATTCTACTGAGCTATCTCCCCGGCCCCCCCCAAAAAAAAAATCAGTAAAGGCAAAGTCAGTTTATTTAAAAAAAAAAAAAAAAAAAAACCCTGCCTTTTAAGGGCTGGCCAAATAGCTCAGTGGATTAAAGCACCTGCAAGCGGGCACAGGACTAGGGGTTTGATCCCTGGACCTGCCATGCCAGCCCCGCCCCTGGGGCGCACTGAACTGGCAATTGAGACTGGGCATGGTGGCACACACCTGTAATGCCAGCTCTTGGGAGGCTGTAAGCAGGTGGATCACTACAAGTCCCATCTAGTAGTGAGACCCTGAGCACCCTGTAGACCCTTCCCTAAAATACAAAAAAAAAAGTATCTCCCTGTCGCTTTTTGTTTGTTTGTTTTGAAACAGTCTCCCAGGGCCGGGGAGATGGCTCAGTGGAATAAGCGCTTCCCTGGCAAGTGCAAGGGCCTGAGTTTAATCCCAAGTTCTGGCAAAAAAAAAAAAAAGACCAGTTGAAAAAAAAACACATAAAGAAATAGGATAGTGATAGACACAGATGAGCATGTGCCCTTGTTCCTGCCTTCCTAAGACAATCCCCAAGAGCAGAGCTGTGTGGTGGGCAGCATGTACACCGAGAGGTGCTGCACTGTCAGTGGGAAGGTGGGCCTGGTACCTACCTGGGCTGCCTGCCTTTCCACAAGCCTTGCCTTCCCAGGGCTTGGTAGCGTCAGCACCATCAGAAAGGATGTAAATCAGGTTCTGGCAAGATAGCTCAGGAACTAAGCGCCTGCTTAGGGATTCCAGGCACCATCTGCCACACCGGCCCACCCCCAGGAGGGCTGAACACCTGGAATCCTGGTGCGGGGAGCCCAAGCTGGGTAGAGACCTGAGATCCTGCACCAAATACAGGAAGGAGGGAGGGAGGGAAAGAGGGAGGGAGGGAAGGAAAAATGGAAGGAAGGAAATCAAAGCAACATGCTCTACCTGATGGCCAAGGGCTCCAGGGCATCTTGCCATAGAAGAAAGGAAGCTAGTCCCCTGGGACTGGGCCCAGCTAACTCCAAAACTAAGAGGTGGGGCAAGACCAGTGAGTTCTAGTCTAGTCTGGAGCATGCAGTGAGCACTGGGGCTGCTCTGACATGCAGGCTTTGTTCATTTTAGGGATGTAGGTATTCCCACCATGGCCGCTTTCAAACTATCCAAGTGACATCATTGAACATTGTCAAGAGAGGTGAGGAATCTAGCCTCAGAAGCCACTGAGAACCAGTTCCAGCACACTACTGACGGGTGGGGAGAAACTGAGGAAGTGACTGTGAAGCTGAAATCTGAAAGACAAAAGCAGACCACAAGAGGGAGAGCAGGTGTGTTCTAGTCAAAGGGGAAAACTTGTGAATGGAAACTCAAGGCCAGAATGAGGTTAACAGGCACTGGGTTTTCTGTTTTTGTTGCTTTTTTTTTTTTTTTTAACTTTTCTTTTATTTATTTGTGTGTGTGAGTGTGTGTGTGTGTGTGTGTGGCCAGCTCAGCCCACCAGGGGGCGGGGCGGCCGGCAAGTGGTGCTGGGGGATTGAACCGCAGTCCCTGTGCTTTGCTAAGCTTGTTCTAAGTAGGTGCTTTAGACCACTGAGCCATCTCTCCAGCCCCTTTTGTTGCTTCTAATGTATTTAGTACAGGGTCTACAGGGTCTCACTACATAACTGGGACTCAGTGATCCTCCTGTTTTCAGCTTCCCAAGCACTGGGATTACAGGTGTGTACCACCATACCCAGTCTCAATTCTGTCTCAGTGTGGCCCAGGGCAGGGCCCGTACAGCACGCCCGATTGAACCCCAGCCACTGTGTTCTGCCTAAGCAGGCGCTTCAGTCCACTGAGCTATCTGGCTGGCCCAGATGGTTTTTTGTTTTGTTTTGTTGTTGTTTGAGACACGGTCTCACTATGTAGTGCAGGCTGGCCTTGAGCTCCTTTGTGTAACCCAGGCTAACCTCAGACTCTTGGTTATTCTTCTGCTTCAGCCTCCCAGATGCTGGGATTATAGGAATGGGCCACTATGCCCAGCCTGTTTGTTTTTGAAAGTTTCATTATGCAGTTAGTCCCAGCACTCAGGAAGATGAAGCAAGATTACCATGCAGTCAAAGCTAGCCTGCACTGCATTAGTGATACCCTGTCTCAAAACAACAAAGGGCAGGGGAGATGGCTAGTGGAATAAGCGCTTCCCTGGCAAGTACAAGGGCCTGAGTTCAATAGCCTGGCCTTGAGCCCGAGGATGCCTCAGGCTCCCAAATAGCTACGATTATAGGCTTTGCAATACCACACCAGGTTCCAAGAATGATCTTTTTTGCCCCAATGGGGAGGCTGACGCAGGAGGATCACCTGGAGTTTGAGGGCCACCTGGGCTACACGATGAGTTCAAGGCAAGCCTGGACTACTCAGTGACACTCGAAGAAAAACAGATCTTACGCAGGCTCCCAGGGAGAACAGTGTCCGTGTGGGCTCTGTGTGTGTCTGTTGCGTGTATGGGGCCAGATTCTCAACTAAAATTAGTTTTAATTCTACTTTGTTCCACCAGGGGGCAGACGGACTCGGCAAACAGCCTACTAGGGACATCCCGCTTTTTTTCAAAAGGAGCAGGGCTCGGTCTAACTGAGGCCTCCGAGCACCCGGGGTGGGGTCCTAGGTGGGGCGCCCGCCTCGGTCCCCGGGCCTCGCTGTCTGCAGCCGCCTGGACCCCTGCGCAGGCCGGGCCGGGCCGGGCGGGGGCGGGGCCGGAGGCGGGC